ACTTGGATTGATTACTTGTTCTTGACAGTCTCTTATGCATTTAGTTCAGGGTATCAGAATGTGAGATAGAGCATATAGGTAGCCATGTGAGATTTGAGCCTGCTCGTTTCTTTCTTGTGCGATAGATCCCTCTTCCATGATGTGTAGCATTCACGTTGTCACTAGCTAAGATGATGGGGGCATAGGATTAGCCCACGACCAAATTTGACTGTCCTGATGTGTCATATCCTCTAGTCAGCCCTTTTGAGTCGTGTGTTATCCTTTCTTTTGGTCCGAAATGAAAAAAAATCACCCTTTTGCATCTTTTAGAAGGTTCCACAGAGTGGTTTTTTGCATATTCTCTGCTGTTTCTGCTAAATTTGATGTGAGTGTTGGAGGTAGTGCTTAAAATTTGGGCAGATGTTTGAAATATGTGCAGAAGTGGTGGCCCTCTTAAGAAGTGAAAAGAAAATGAAAGAAAAACAAAGAAAAATTGAAAGCAAAGAGAGCCACTACCAAAAATCTGAATAATGCCCAGTAAGTAGTGTTTCTTAGCAGTCTGGCTTGGAAATGCTGACATTTATACCTCCTTCGCTCTTGTGCTCTTGAGATATTGAGTAATGCAGAATAGCAGAAAGGAAATACCGGTTTGTTTGACTGGGATTGTGTGGGTTTGGAAATGTGGAACCTTGTGCTACGAATACTTCCACCACCTAAAAGGCCTTTTCCCCATGTCCAAGACCCTAGCCAGTCATTTGAACCTGTGTCTAAGACCACCTGATTAGTTAGTGGTGACACCCCATATGTGAACTCTAGCATTTAGAGGCTGCCATCATGGTGAAGAGATGTTAGGGATTGAGAGAAATAGCATGCGCATTTTTCGCATCAAATTGTCCTGACCCCACTGGTCGAGAGTGAGTGATTCATTTTCATATTCTATATACTCTTGTACCCCGGTGAGGACCTAGATTGCTCGGTCTCTATTCTGATGTCTTGAATTGGATGCATGAGCTGACTGTTTTGAGTAAGTGGTTGAGTCAAGTCTAGATTGGTTGGTGAACAGAAGGGAGACTCTTCCTTTACTCGATTTTGCTGCACTCGAATGTCCTTTGTGTTGGTTGTCCAGGTTGCTATTGAGGTTGTTCATGTATTGATGTTTGAAAACCAGTACGATTCACATGTTCAGTGCCTTTATGACTTGTCCCCAATGTTGGTTGATTGAAAAATGTAAGCTTACCTTGTGTCTGACTTGGTTTGCTTGGGGACAAGCAAACGGTTAAGTGAGGGGGAATTTGATAGCATCATATTTGCACGTGTTTTCACTCTGGTTTCCTGTCCATTTTAGCTTGAATTGATTGTTCCTTGGCCTATTTTACGCTAGGTTGTGTTGTTTTGTCGTATTTCAGGTCCTAGCAGGTAAAGAGGTGCATAGGTGCAAGTTTCGGGTCATTTGGAGGTCAGATGGTGATTCACAGGCCAAATTACGGGCAGCCCCTGCCAAATTACGACCGTAATTGGTCAGGGCATGGCCGTAAAACAAATGCTGAGCCAGTTTCCCAAGAATTCTTCTCGGCAATAAAATTACGGGCAAGCATAGAGGGAATTACGGCCGTAATTAGTGAAATACTGGCGGTAATTGGAAATTACGGGCGTGGTTCATCTTCCAGCAGAGTAAAGTTAAACGCGCATTTTGGGCGAATTACGGGCAGGCCGTGATTACGGCCGTAATTCTGCCCGTATTTCGCCCAGAGTCGGGTTTTTGAAGCCAGAATCGAGCCAAGGAAAGGGAGATCGAATTTCTTGAGCAAAAACAGAGCCCTAGAGAGAGAAAGGACGAAGAACTCACCCTAGAAGCCATCTTGGAGCTGGGTTTCATCAAATCAAGCTTGGAGATCGTCCTAGGAGTGGAAATCATCATCCGGGAGCAGATTTTCCTCATCTTTATGAGTATGACTACTCCAATTACTGTTTTCTTCTCTCTCTCTATGGAGTAGAACCCCTCTCTCACTTGGGGATGAAGAACCCTAGTTCTATGTGTTAGGGATTGATTGTAATGACTTGGGATGAGATTACTGTTTGATTTTAATCGAATGATGCATGTTTATTGAGTCAATTGAAGTCTGATCAACTTTTCCTGATTCCTGCTGCAATCTGAGATAGATAGAATCTGATTAGGTTGCTAGAGTCTCATCATTCGGTAGTAGGAGATTGGCTATACGAGAGTTAGCCAGTTTACTGCTTTGTACTGGAATCCAATTCCAGTAGTGGAGTTCTGTTCTTACTGCTTCAGCTTTCTATCCCGGTGAAGACTAGTCGTCTTCCGGGTAGTTAGACTGAGAGGGCTTGGTCAGCTTAAGAGATTCCAAGCTACTGTCGGATCTTCCGCAGTCTAATCAACACTAAATCAACCCAGGGAAATTGCAATTGAACCTAACTAAGGAGCTAGGGGGACTCATTCCCGAGTGACTCTTTCTTGCTTGAGAAAACCGAATAATTTCCTGCTTTCTTTCTGCTTTTGCTTTGAAACAACAATCACTCACTTTAGTTGGCTAGATAACAGAGAATCACTGAGTAAGCAGTAGATCTAGACCCCGGGTTGATAATATAACTTGCTAGTTACTGCATTCCCGGTCTGCGATTACACTTGGTCGCAGATTGGTGTTGTGTTTTGGCTTGTCATTGAGTCAAGTGTATGTTGGTTGATGAACAGAAGGGAGACTCCTCCTTTACTCGATTTTGCTGCACTCAAATGTCTTATGTGGTGGTTGTCCAGGTTGCTATTGAAGTTGTTCATGTGTTGATGTTTCAAAGCCAGGAGGATTCACGTGTTCTGTGCCTATATGATTTGTCTCCAATGTTGGTATGATTGAAATATGTGAGCTTACCTTGTGTCTGACTTGGTTTGCTTGGGGACAAGCAAACGGTTAAGTGTGGAGGAGTTTGATAAACCGTTAATTGCACATGTTTTTACCCCTATTATTGAGCCGTTTGAGATGTTGATTCTCGTGTTTTAGACTGATTTCACGCTAGGTTGTTCTTGTTTGTGATATTTCAGGTCCTAGAACGTAAATGAAGGTTTGGGAGCGAGTTCGGGGTCGATTGGACGAAGATCGGACGTGTGGCGAGACGCTGAGGAAGCCACACGGGCACTCATAAAACCCACACGGCCGTGTAAGAAACCCATGTGGCCGTGTGGGATTTACCAAGGCTTCACACGGGCATACTGGAGATTCCACACAGTCGTGTGTCCCTGGCCGTGTAGGTAGCCAGAAGTCCATTTATTTGAAACGCCGCATTTTGACACTCACACGGGCATCTGGGGAAGCCACACGGTCGTGTGGCCTGCCCGTGTGAGTCGGGAATTTTGGTTTTAACCCAATTTCGAGCCACAAGTGAGGGGATCGACTTTTGAGAGCAAAAACAGAGCCCTAGATAGAGAAAGTGCGAAGAACTCACCCTAGAAACGATCTTGGAGCTGGGTTTCATCAAATCGAGCTTAGAGATCATCATAGGATTGAAAATCATCATCCCAGAGGATGCTAAGACGGATGCTTCCAACAGGGGAAGCACTTTGGGTGCAGGTGATTGGGGATGGGTGGGTTTGTCCAATTTGCTTAGGGGAGGAGGAGACGGTGTAGCATCTTTTCTTTCAGTGTCCTGTGGCCCGTACCCTTTGGCAATTGACGGGTTTACAACATTTGCAGGAGGGGATACCTATTAGTAGTATAGCTATGTTTTGGCGGAGGGTGTTGGAGCGACCGAGTTTTGGTAGTGTTGAGCTTATGCAATTGGTTGCTCTCTTCTGGTGTCTTTGGAAATCGCGGAATAGTATGGTTTTATATTTTGTTCACTCTCGCCTTTCAATTTTCTTTGCAGGTGAATGAATGGATTGATAACCCTCGGGAGGTTACTCCGCGTCTACTTCCCCCGTCCATATTGGGTTCTCATAGAGGTCCTGTGTCGGGTGCTTTATTTTGTTTTTTTTATGGTGCAGTGCAAGATGGGTCTCATGGGGAAGGAGGATGGGTTGTCCAGGATGGGGCAGGATCGATTGTTGCTAGTTCCGCTCGGCATTACTCTGGTGTGTTTCAGTTGAGTTGCTTGCTTTACGGGATGCAGTTCGTTGGTGTGCGGATAGAGGGTGGATTTCAGTCGTCTTTCAAGGGGATGCGGAAGTGGTTGAGTCGCTATGACACAACTCCTAACAATGGCCAAGTGTAACCAATGAAAGGGACTGCAGTATAGTGGCTCAAGTAATAAATATCGAATCCACGGGTCTCTAGATCTACTGCCTACTCCGTGAATATCTTTTATCTAGCAAACTAAGTTGATTGATTGTGGGTATAACTAAAAGCAGTAAGAAAGCAGGAATTGGTTCGGTTTTCTGAAGCACGGAAGAGTCACTCGGGAATGAGTCCCCCTAGCTCCTTAGTTAGGTCGCAGTTGTAATTACTGGGTTGATTTACTGTTGATTAAACTTCGGAAGATCCGACAGTAACTTGGAATCTCTTAAGCTGACCAAGCCCTCTCAGTCTAACTACCCGGCAGACGACTAGTCTTCACCGGGATATAAAGCTGAAGCAATAAGCACAAAACTCCACTACTGGAATTGGATTCCAGTACAAAGCAGTAGACTGACTAACTCTCGTATAGCCAATCTACTACTACCGAATGAATAAGCTCTAACAACCTAATCAGATTCTATCTATCTCAGGTTGCAGCAGAAATCAAGAAAAGCTGATCAGACTTCAATCAATTCAATGAATCATGCATCATTCGATTAGAACCAAATAGTATAGCAATCCCAAGTCATTACAATCATGATCCCTAACACATGGAACTAGGGTTCTTCATACCCAAGTGAGAGAAGGGTCTACTCCATAGTGAGAGAAAGAAAAACAGGATACAAAGCAATCATACTCATAACAATGGGAAGTTTTGACTCTGATGCAAATGTAAATTATGGTTTGAAGTTTGAAAAATATATATATATATAAAGCTCGGGCCCGAGAAGGTTTAAACTAGATGTATTTTACTGTTTCATTTTGTAATGTAAAGTAAGGGTGTTACAATTTGTTCTCTTAGGAAACTGTTTCTGCTATTCTGGCTATACCTTTGTCCTATTCCCCTATCGAGGATCTCTTGGTCTTGCATCATGGGGCGTCTAGTGTGTATTTGGTTAAATCGGGGTATCAATTGGCTGTGGAGTCCTTGCGGCATCCTTCTCGCTTTTGTCGAGATTCGTGTTCCCCTTTTGATAGAGGATTGTGGAGGAAGTGTGGGGTCTGCCTATCCCCCCCAAGCTCCGATTTTTTGTCTGGCAAACCGGGGAAGTCCGCTTTATTACAAAATCCACACAACATAAAACATTTAAGGAGTTCGGAGTCCTCCGCCAACCTCATGGCTTCCCTTCACGCTTGAGTCCCGATATCTATAGTACACACCTTACTTTTGCTCTTGATCTGAGGAAAAATGGTGACGAAGGATGAGTCGTCGCTCAGTGAATAAATTCTAAGCTCAGATCGACATCAATACAAAAATAGTATTGGGCAGAAACACCCTAGCACATAGCAGGACTTAAGTTGTTTATCACACTTTTAATTCCACTGAATCAATCAAGTACACATGTTCACATCCCATCTCAGTCAAAACACATAAAACAGATGACAGATAGAGGCATTTTGCTTATACAATTTCACTTTCCAATTTTTGCTAAATGATATCCTCCCCGGGTAGTACAGTAGTGGAAAGCTGCAGGGTAACCATGTACAGCCATCAGATAACTGGAGTACCACGGGACAAAACCCAGTATGGTACGAATAGGAGTGCACAAGGCACGAAACAAGAGTGCTCGCACCAACAGGAGTATCGCGGGACGCAAACCGGACCGATAGAAAACAGGAGTCGCCACGGGATTACCCCAGCCCGGCTAACTGAAGAGAACAGGAGTACCGTGGGTCGTCACCCAATCGGCACGGTGCGGAGCACGAGCGCTCAAACATGAGTATTGTGGGGTTTACCCACATCGATACAAACATGACACACTACTGTACCGAGGTATAAGAAGCCCTTTTACTTATTCCTATGTATTCACCTATTTTCATTAATAGTTCATTTAGACACATGTCAGTAATCATTCCGTAAGCTCACTTATACACTATATGCTCAGAAGCATTCATAGTGCTTTTGCACCCTCACTCACAGTAGAATGGAATGTAAGCTGAGGAGCTTACTCTGAGTTATTCAAGCAGAATAGGATTAGTAAGCCTAATGGCTTACTCCAGACCTAAGCAGACAGGACGCGTTCGCAAGTTCGACTACTTACTCATAATCCACACAATAAATCAACAAAACCAATCCATATGATAATTTCGTTCCACTTCATGATCATTCAACCATTTTCATCATTAGATCACATAACCATGCTAATTCTACAAAATGTCAGTTGCAGAGGCAGCAATGATTTACAGAGGCACAGTAGAAATTTATAGAGGCATACACAAGATCAACCAACAAAATGTCTTTCCATAACTCATCCACAATTCATGCATTTCCAACTTCACACCAAATGCAGATGATGAATATATACCAATAACCCATCTTGGGTTCACTGAATTTCAGAACCTATATCATTTAACACACCATAGAGACAATTATGGTCATTACAGGAACCATATCACATAGCCATATCATTTCCCATAAATTCACATATTATACAGGAGCCGCTTCATGACCCCGATATGTATTCGGGCCGCTTCATTACCCGAGTACTGTTATTATGTTGAAGTAGATGTAAGATTAGAATCTACTCATTGTTTTGTCTTCACTCAGCTATGCCCTTGCCTTTGGATGAGCCCCCGGCTTGCTCCTTACCTTTATATACGAAATTTCTAGGTTATTCAAGCACCTAAGATATGTATAAAGTCATCATAATCATGGTTGTGTTCATGCATGTCGATAAGGCCACTAGGGAAGTCGTACGGCCGTACACTTTACCCTGCTTCACCATTTTGGTCATTGATCCCTTGATACTTAACCAAATCAGTTGATTCTTGTTTATATTGAAACTAGATTCATAGGGATACAACATATCCAAATTTTAGACCATTAGGATCAGCTGTTTGAGCCGAGAAATCATTTTAAGTTGACATTTCAAAACTGTCAGCTACTTTCTTTTCACTTCAAATCCAACTCTCCTACTTCTAACAATTGTTCCTGACCACTCCAAAATCAAAACTACGTTCCGAACAGTCAATTCGAAGAACTCAATATGCTTAACCTGATACCAAATTTATAGAACGATCCAACGATTGATTCGTACAGGATCTTACCTCTAATCTGCTGTCCTGCTACAGGAAAACAGTGTCGCACCCGTTCTGTCCAGCGACATTCCTCGATGAACCAGGGATCATAACGATGATCCGAATGGTCAAATCTTAGACAAGGAAGTATGGAACAGAACGTAGAAATCGCAGGACGATCCAACAGCTTGAGTGTCCGGAATCATCCTTACCATAGGTTGTCCTGCTGCTGGACGAATTTTGGCAGCACCCCTTGTTTCCTTCTTCCTTTCCTTGATATCCTTTTCTTTCTATCTTTCTACTCTTTGTTTCTGAAAGGGAGATGGTGGTTTTTGGGGTGGTGAAACCAGGTGGAAGAAAGAGAGCAAGAGAGGGACGTGGGAGAGAGTGAGGGAAAGAGATGAGAAGAAAATGAGAGAGAAGAGGGGAGGGCAGATTTTTATCTCCCCTTCTCTAGAATTCTCCAACCCTCCAAATTGCCCACTTGGCCCTAAACTTTCATTCTCTTGCAATTAAGTCTAAAGCTTTCACTATTCACTTTCTTTTTTGTTCAAAGGATCAATTTTTGTAACCCAATCACCAACACGTCATTATGACGTAATAATTAGTACGATGGTAGGGATGTTACACAAATGGTTCAATCGATCAAGACGCCAGGCCCCCTGACCATGGTAAATCAAAGAATACACCATTCCCTGCTCGCAATCCACCCCATGCCGCAAACTCGGAGGACTTGTGTGAAGCTGCGGAACCCAAGAAGCTCTTGTCAGTGAAATAGAATGACCCGATCCCACCTGCCAACGTAAACCCCTCGACAGCAACTCTCGACCAAACAAGACACTCCGCCAACCCCACGAGGGGAGAGATCCTTCACGCGTTGCCTGGAAAGAAGAATTAGGGAAGTACTTTCCTTTATAAATCCTGGCAACCAGAGAATTGGGGTCCTGCAAAATGCGCCACCCAATTTAAAAATTGAATATCACAATCTAGTGTTAACTATTGAAGATAAACTTACCATCATATTGAGTAAGAGAATAATGTTCATGCATTTTGACTTAGAAAACTCAACTTAAGTATCGGCGTAGGGTTGAGGGATCTAAATCGAAGTCTCACTTGATTATCATTTATTTCCTCATTAACTTCAATTGTTAAATAATATCATTTTAATTATTTCATCAGTGCGTCACGTAGTTTAATGTGAGATCACAAAATTCCACACCTATTGTTTTGAAATTAAAATTCCACACTTAATTTTCATTTTTTTAGATCACTGAATTATTGAATTGTAAAATAAAAATACGGATAAAGATTATTTTTAAAAGAACATATCAAATCACAACTATCCAATTGGTCGGGACCACTATCTAGTAAAAAGCTCGCAGAACAACCTAGACTCATAAAGCAAACTGAGAAAGTGAAAAAATGTAACAACCCGATCCTTTTTGGAAACCAAACCATAACTCAAACCACAAACCGGTTACTCCGGAGCAACCCAAAACAGGTTTACAAGTCAAAAACCGAAAATCAACGACAATGCTAAGATTCTCAAGTGAAATGCCCAAAACACTTGGGCGACCTCAATCCAAAGCAAAAAAACATAAAACCCCATCCTTGAGTTTCCCAGTATACTCATTAAGACATGAAGTAAGACAAGAATATTAAATGGTTCTATCTCGTTACCCAGATCCTGCTGACATCTTCAAGATTGTCGCGGTTGCTCTCCTCGGGTAACCTCCTCTTGATGGATGCGTTCTCTTCCCCTCTCTGCACCTGGTGAGTGAGAAGAGGTCAATCTCTTCGTTACTTCCTAAGGTCTTCGCCCTAGGAAAACTCCATACTAAACACGTTATTAGAGTTTCCTTCTTAGAACAAAAGACGTTCTCGCTTTCTGCTCTCAAGTAACCATTCCTTGCTAGCTTATAGAAGACCTCTACTTCTATCCTGAAATCATAGGAGTTCTCTATTAATATCCTTAACTCATACACCAACACTAGGGACCACTCCGTTACGTATCATCGTCCGGTGTCTCTACCCTAGTATGCCAACCGTGTTACGTCTCGACATCCGGTTGCATACTCAAACTTGGCAATGGCACTGTGTTACGTCTCGCCTTCCAGTCCATGCATGGTCAACTACTACGTTACGTCTCGCCCTCCAGTAGTGACCCCAACACAGTCGATCAACTGTTGTGTTATGCCTCGCCGTCCAGCAGTGACATGATCATCTACCGCGTCCAGTAGTGGCCCAACCGCCTGGGATTTCATCTTACCATTAACCATCTATTAAAACTACCCATCCATACCTTCATACATAGAACAACGCGTGCCTCCACCTTAAGTAGGTGATAACGTCGTATTTGCACATGTTTGCACCCTCGTTTCTTAATAATTTTGGCTTGATTTTTAGCTTTCTTGGAATATTTTACGCTAGGTTGTGTTCCTTTGTCACATTTCGGGTCCTAGCATGTAAATTGAAGCATAGGCGCAAGTTTGAAGTCAATCGGAGATCATTTGGCAATTCGGGAGAAGAAACACGAGCATGACCTGAGGAAGAATGGACTTCTAACTCATATTATGGACAAATAATCATGGAATCTTGTCATGAAAAGAAAGAGGACGAGACTACAAGAGTTTGGGATCAAACGGCAACTGATTCGGAGTCCGGTTGATGGAGAAACGAAGCATTAAACAGGAGCGGAGGAAGAAATACGGGTATGGAGGAATAACGACCGTATTTCTGTCCGTATTTTGCCCAAAATCGGGTTTTGGAGGCAGATTCGAGCCAAAGGAAGGGGGTCGAGTTTTTGAGAAAAAAACATAGCTTTGGAGAGAGAAAGTGCGAAAAACAAACCATAGGAGCTATTTGGAGTGGATTTCTCACCATTGAAGCCCATATTGCATCCCTAGGAGTGAAGATCGACATCCCATAGCAGATTCTTCCCATTGTTATGAGTATGAGTGCTTTGTATTCTGTTTTCCTCTCTCTCTATGGAGTAGAACTTTCTCTCACTTGGGTATGAAGAACCCTAGTTCCATGTGTTAGGAACCTTGATTGTAATGACTTTGGATTGATATAATGATTGATTTTAATCGATTGATGCATGATTCATTGAGTCAATTGAAGCCTGATCATATTTTCCTGATTACTATTGCAACCTGAGATAGATAGAATCTGATTTGGTTGTTAGAGCTTCATCAATCGGTAGTAGTAGATTGGTTATACAATAGTTAATCGATTTACTGCTTTGTACTGGAATCCAATTCCAGTAGTGGAGTTCTGTGTTTATTGCCTCAGCAGTCTATCCCGGTGAAGGCTAGTCGTCTACCGGTTAGTCTGTCTGAGAGAGCTTGCCCAAAGTCTGTTACTTTAGCATTTTCTTTACAACATTTTCTCTCTTCCACCTGTGTTCCTTCACGAGTTGCTTTTGCTGATTGCGTGCAGGTAGCGCATGGCCCGTAGCCAGTAGGGAGATCTACTGCCATTGGACCAGGGAATTGAACGAACCTGTCGTAACCTCAAGCGGACTCTAAAGGCACGACTAGCTGCGGAGGAAGCTGTGGAGCAACTACACATCACCGAGTAGGAAGAAATGGGTGAACCACAAAACAATGATGTGGTCATTCCCGAGGAGAAAACCATGGACTATTACTGGACCGCCCGCGCCGCAGACATGAGGTCCCCCATCCAACACCCTCAAGTTTCTACCAAAAACTTTGAGGTGAGTACCTCTGTCATCACCATGCTGCGTGGCTCAGTGGTATTCCGTGGCAAGGAGGGGGGGTGCCCCCGATCAGATCTGTGACGATTCCATGATCTCATCGATGGGATCAAGATAAATGGGGTCCCAGCCGATGCCATCCAGTTGAGGAACTTCCGATTCACTGTGGAGGGGCAAGCCAATGAGTGGTTGGAAACTAGGCCTCCCGGATCGATCACCACATTCGCCAACCTGGCGGACAAGTTCCTCACCCGCTATGCCCCGCCGTCGAAGATGGCGGACCTACAGAAGCAGATAACCCATTTTGCATAGGAGGAAGATGAGACCATCCGGGACGCATGGGAGAGATACACAAGTCTTTTCCTGAGGTGTCCCAATCATGCTTTCAATGATGCTTTCAAGGTGGGCACCTTCTACCACGCCCTCTTACCAGAAGACAAGCAGCTGATTGACTCGGTTTGTGGCGGGAACATGCTAACCAAGACGCCACCGCAGTTGAATCAGCTCTTTGAGGAGATGGCAGAGAAAGGGTATGATTGGGGTACTGCGAGGAGGTCGAGGCGAGCACCAGGCCGGGGTGTACATGCTGTGGGCACCCACTCTTCTGATTTGGTACAGGTTGTGTCTAAACTGGTCTCAACCATCGATCGAAATGGGATGGTATCGGGGACAGGGCAGCAGCCGTTAATGCGTTGCGAGTGGTGCGAGAGCGCCCATCCTATTGTGGAGGACTGCCAGGCCATGCGTGAGTCCAGTACACCCAGGAGCAGGTGAACTTCATCAACAATGTCAGGCGCAACGATCCTTACAGTAATACCTACAATGAGGGATGGCGCCAGCATCCAAATTTCTCCTGGAGTGGCAAGAGCAATCCAAAGTCACCTGGCTTCCAGGCTCCTGCAACTAGTTTTCCAAACCAGAGGCAGCCATACCAGCCTCGCCCGGGCCAGATGCAACAACAGTAGCCACTTTATCAGCCCATACAGGGGCAGGCTTTTCAACAGCCCCCACGGCAGTAGTACCACCATCCTGTGCATCTCCATCAGTCCCAGCACCGGGCGATCCCGTGTCAGAACTGAGGGATCTAGTGACTACCTTGGCCAGCACTAGTACCCAAAAGTTCAATAAATTTGTGCAATTCATGGAAGTGGTTGCAAGCAAATTCATGGAGATTGAGGCTGGCCAGAGAAACCAGCAGGCACTCTTGCAGGATATGGACACCAATATCAGGCACCTGGTGATGGAAAATGAGCCAGAGGCTCAAGTGAAACACCCTAACCCGCCCGGGTACTACTTTTACTAAAATGCCCTTGATAAATAAAATACTCAAATCTTAAATCGCAGCGGGAAAAATTTTCATAAATAAAATACTGAAACACACACTTGTAGCTCAGAGCAAAGCCCTAACACGTGGGCAAATTAAACTCAAACTTTAAAATATCAATCTTATCTCCAGTCTATACTCATAATCATAAATGTAAATAACTAATAATCTCTAATGTTGTTGCTAATGAAACCTTGATTAAGCATCATCTGTGACGCTTATACTGCCCTCCTCTAGCTGCCTGCCCTCAAACTCGATGCTCACTAACTGCTCCTCTAGCTCCTCCTCTAGCTCTTCAAACTGGTGTGTGAGATGGGGTCATTCTACCCCCTTACGTTTAACATCTTATTAATACTTGATCACTTTTCTTAACTGAGTGGAAGTTGTTTTGTACTTCCACTATTAAAAAGCTTAACTTTTAAAACTGTATGGGAGTTACTGTTACTCCATTCTTAAATCTCAAAGCTTGACTTAAATACTTGACCGAC